CACGCGCACGCGCACGCTCCACGCGCACGCCCATACTTGCGCACGCGCACGCGCACGCGCACGCGCACGCGCACGCGCACGCGCACGCACACGCACACGCACACGCACACGCACACGCACACGCACACGCAACACACACGCTACACACACGCAACTCACACACACTTGCAACACACACGCAACACACACGCAACACACACACGCAACACACACACACACACAACACACACACAACACACACACACACGCACACAAAACACACCCACACACACACACACACGCAACATAGACACACACAACACCCACACACAACACACACACACAACACACACACCCACACACCCACACACACAGAGAGACATGCGCAGATGCAGTCGCAGATGCGCACAGGCACACGCCCAGAAAAGACGCACAGATTCACACATACATACGCACACACAGGGATACGCACACACACACATATATATATATATGAGTTAGCGTCAAAATTACCGTCATGTACTTTATATGGGGGTGTTTCATGCACGTATTGTGTTTGCGTTGTTGCTCGAAAAACGATACGGGACGTCCAAAAAAACGATACCCCTTCAGCAAGTTGGCATTGGTTGCAAACAAAAATGTCTTGTTAGTTTGTGTGTTCTCCTAGAGCATGTGTTTATTTGCTTGGTCGAGACTTGCAACTAGGCCCTTCCTCTGCAAGGGTTGCAGGGCAGGGGGATCAAAAGGGAACTTCACATTTGGAGCACCAGCTGGCTTGTGACAAGACACGTGTGGCAAAAACAAGCTGTGCTTGAACGGGGCGAACGTTTCTAGCATGTGTCCACCACATTGCAGGGGTAACTGCCGGCCAGCAAAAAGCATCACGAGTTGTAGTTGGGCAAAACAGCGTTTGCATTTTTGAAGGGGATGTAAAAGTAGTGCTGGGTTCAGTCAAGGAAGTTTAGAAGGGGTGCAACTGTAGTTCTCCGTTTGGTCAACGAAGTTCAGAAGGAACTTGCGCAATACTGGAACTAAATGAGCGAGCTCTTTCGAAGAATGCGTGCATCTGCACTCTGCGCATGAAAAAGCTACGAAAAAGGCTAGAAAGCGCGAGAGCTGGAGGGTGGAGCGTCCATAGACGGAAACCAAGACGCATTATGCATTCTGAGGATGTCCCGCTGGCTTGCCCTTTTGCTGGCCACGCAAGGTGCTTGGGAGGTTACCTTTCTTCGGCCGCAAGCAAACTGCAGGACTGCATTTTGCACGCTCCAGCGCTTCTCTGAGGCTCCTTAGAGCGGAAGTAAGACAGTTGTCAAACACCGCCGCTTCGAGAAAAAACGATACCCCAAAACGATACCCCGACGATACCCCCGCAATGGGGCAGGATGCTAAATGTCGGGGGTGGCCCACTTGACACCAAAGCGCTACCCCTGCAGTTACGAGGAGACACACATTTGGGGGTGTGAAAGAACTGCAATGCTGGAGAGCAAGGATTGTAATGCCAGGAATTGCCAGGCAGCCTCGCAGCCGTGCAGCCACAAACTGGCGGCGCTGGGCTGACACAGGAAGAGTCACGATGGGTTGAGGAGTGCGTGTTGAGGAGAAGTGGAAAGCTTTGACCCAGGAGGGGCAGCATGCTCGCATAGAGAGAGCTGCCTCGGCTCCAAAGGCTGAGCCGAACAGCGCGGAAAAGCAATTGTCAAGGTGATCGCGAAGAGTGCCCGCGAGAAGGTGAAGAAGACCACCGCGGTGAGGAAGCCAGCCTCGCGGCTCCAGCGCCGGCGGTGCCGCGGGGGCGTGACAAGCATCTTTGGACGCAGCCTCGTCCTTTCTCCCCAAGCGGCTGCATGGGTGTAAAGCGAACAACTCCAGCTCCAGCAGCCAAGCGGGTGAGGAACTACATTGACGCAACACTGCGTGAGTTTCCGTTGTGTGAGTTGCTTGGCTTGCAGGGATTGCGCTTTGGCCGCCGTGTGGCTTTATACCGGGGAACGCCCGCTTGTGGGAGCTTCCATTCCGTTGCTGTTTCGTTGGCGCTGTCCCCGCAAAGAATCGTTTGGTAGCAAGCACGGGGGCAGGGATGTGTCCCGTATCCACGGCCTGCAAAACGATACGGGACGTCCTTTTTAAGCAAAACCTGTAAAACGATACGGGACGTCCTAACACCAAATGAATACACCCCAGACAAGTAATTTTGACGCTGTATATATATATATATGTATACACATGATATACATATGTATATACACATATATATATATGGATATGTTTAAGCGCATGCAGAATTGTATAACGCGGAAACAAGCACATTAAACTTGCACCATGCATCCTCGTGCAGCGCCAGGCAGAGGCCTGCGGAGACGCCTCCGACACAACGTGGATGCAGTCGCCTTCTTCCCCCGGGAGCGCTGCATGTGGGAAGCATTACATGGGAGGGGAGGGAGTTTGGTTTTGTCCTGCGCTTTCCTTCCGCCAATTCAAATTGCATTGCCTTTCAGGGTTTTGGCAGTTGGAGGAGCTCGTGTGGGGTGGATTCGAGTCGATCTCGAGGGTTCCGGATTGCTTGAGCAACTTGATGGTCGACAGAGATTAGTATCTCTTAGTTTGATGGCGTTTTAGTGAGGGCTGACAAATACACCTTTGCAACGGTCAATTGGGGAACTGCTCATATGCGGTCAACGTGGATGTACTTTTTGCTAGGCTGTAAAACACGGTGCCCTCCTCCTCAAAGGCTAGTGCGATTGATGCGGACGTTGCCTTTTCTTTAAGCGTGTCTCGAGATTGACATAGGATTCGCTCATGTGAAGTTTGACTTTCAGGATGCAACAGATATTGGGTGTAAAAGAGGCTGCTGCAATTTCTTTACAATCTCACTAGACAACTGCAGAGGGCGAATCCGTTTTGAAATTTGGGACTCTCAAGTGACTAGTGGCCTTCAAAACAATGGTAGTAGCCAAAGTTGGGCATGCCCTCGCAATTGGACCTTTGGTGCGACCTTCAACGGAGAACCAAAGGAATGCCTACCACTTGCGGTCCCTGACACTTTCCACTTGTTTTAAAGGCGGATTCATCCTCCGACTCTAAGGTGCAGTGAAAAGCGTGCAGCTTGCATGTCTAGGGCTTCAGACGACGTCTCCACGTTTCCTTTGGAAGACATTTGGTGTTGATCTTGGCGCCGCAAGGAGCGTCCAGTTACAATACAGAGCGCGCAGCCTCGCGATGGTGAGCTTCATGTCTCCGACGGAGTCCGTATCTAAGCTACCTCTCTTGCTTCACACTTCGCGTGTCACCATTTTGAATGTGGCTTTGAAGCATGACGGGATAGGCTCCTGGGCTTAGGGCATTGAACACAAGCTTTTGGTTCCCCCTCCCCATCCAAGCTTCGTAGGACCCGTCTATGAACATTTTTCATGTGCATGATGCTTTGTTTCATTCGGGGTTGATGTTCTTGTTCGAGCGCTCCATGCAGGCTAGTCCCCACAGGGCGTTGTGCTTGATTCTTGACCCCAGACAATAGTAGGTGGCACGCAAATCGCCGGGAATGGGGTGGATGTCCTTTGCATTGGGGACACTGCCTTACCTTTCAACCTCCTGCTGTTGGCATTGCTGTTGTACCCTCAGCCCACAGGAAAAGGAGGCAGCAAAAGACATCAGCTCTGCACTCGCCACCCGACTCCCGTTTCTCCTTTTTGTTTTTGGCCGTTTCCCACAGATCAGCGCACAGGCCTGGCAACTGCCTCAGCGAAGGCTGGGGTACCGGCCAGAGCGAGAAAGACAGAGAGAGAGAGAGAGAGCCTTGCGGTTCATTCCCGTGCCTTTCATGATGACTCGTGGGCTTGAGTTCTATGACGGCATGGACCCATGGCATGTTTTGATTGTCTGATGATGATGCGTGGTATCGTGGCGGTCTCTGCTGAAACTGCGCCTTGACATGCCACTGCTGGCCGCCTGTGTCAGGATTCGTATGTGTGAACAGTTGTTGGGGCGTAGGATGGGCTTTGGAGTACTTGAACGAGACCGAGCAGACCTGGCCTGGGGCAAAGACCTGTCACGCACAAGTTGCACTTAGCGCATGCGAGGAAAAGTGATCTTGCCCTATACGGGTTTGCCCAAAGTAGGGATCAAACAAATAGTTGGCAGCCGTTTGGCTTTGGTTTGAACATCGTGCAACAGGCGACAACATTTCATGACAAACTCACACGATTCTAGATGAAATCGACACATCCAGCTGGGCCTTGCCCTGAGGCAGGTTTTGTGGTGTAAATGATATGTTGGAACCAACGCATTGCGGCTTCCGTCACGACCAAGCGGATTTCGTGTGAACGTCAATCCTTCTGGACCACAGCTTGTTTTGATGCGCAAAGGAAGTCTGCGAGAGCTGTGAAATGAGAGCGCCTTCCGGGGATTTCCCCATCCCGCAAGCCAAGTGAGAGGACTCCAAGCACTGGTTGGTGCACTGAGTGGGTGCCCCACTTTTCGCCACTCTTGTCGCTTGAGGCACCCCTTGGACACATGCCCTCGTGCGCCCGGTGTAGTCTTGCAGCAGCCCAGGCCCCAGGCTTTTTCGTACTCAGCGGGGAATTGGGGGGCTCCGTTTGTTTGGCAGCGCTCCGGCCACCAGAAAAAGGGAAGCGACGTTGCGGGGAGTCCTGGGAGTGATGAAGTCCACGAGCTTGGGAACAGCAACTCGTACCATATGCTTTTTGAAGGTCGCATTTGGGGGGAGTGAGTCGGAGGCTCGGGTTGCTCGATGACAACATGCGAAGCCGATCACAAGCAGGCCACTGGAATTTCACTAATCCCATCTGAGAAGAAACATCTCATTTACAGAGTACCTGTATTTATCATGCCAGACCCCACAAGGACTGTCAACCATTGAATAGGAATGAGAGTGTTCGCTGTCAAGCCATTGCCAGCGAGCGAGCTGACTGACGACTTCTCGACCGAACAAGTGAGAAACAGGCAAGCAACGTAGACAAGCAAAAATGAGACAAAGACGGTTTGAGAACGGTTGCGAAGCGAAGGAGCAAGCAAGCAAGGAACAGCAAGGACGCAAGTGAGCAAGGCAAGGGAAGCAAGGCACAAGCACACAAAGCACAATGGAGCAAGGCTCACTGGGTGAGAAGCAACTGGAACCAGCGATCCGGAAATAGGCGGCAGCTGCCCAGCAGCAACTAAGTTGTACTTGTCAGCAGTCTTTAGCCTACATTGCTTGATGCCGGATGACAGCGGATCAGCGGGCCTTCGGGACTGCCTGCGAAGCGCGTACGGACCGTAACAAGGTGCTCTGTTGACATCCACAGCCTGGTGCCGGAGTATGAGTATTGGCTGCGAGCTGGCGCCCCAGCGATCGACAAGCGATTGTCCTTGGCTCATTTGCTGCCTGCTCCTTTGCTCATAAGCCTGATTGCTCAATTGGGCACAAACGTAGGTTTTAACCCTAAGAGGTTCTGGGAGCAGCAGCCTTGCACCCTTGGTTTGCCGGCAAAGGTCAAGTTGTTTAACATTTGCTCATTGGGCTGTGGACCCGTTTTGTTTGTTACCTTTTCATTTTGTCACGGGTTGTGTCCTATATGAGGAAACTCCGAGATGTCGCCCGTATGTCCTTTGCTTTCCTCGTTTTCAATCCAAAATTGGACCCTCAAATTATGATCTACTGTACAGATCGGTAAGATTGCTTGCTGCAGGGCCAGGGTTTGCATGCCACTGGGTTCGAGGAGATGCCATATTTGCGTGCTTTGGGATTGGACATGCAAGTCAGGTTTTCTCGTAGTGTGTTTGGCCATAAAGAACCCTCTTTGAGTCAGAATGCACTGGGCTATGGGTTACCCCAATGGGTTCATATGCAACGACACCGGAGATGGCATTGGCATGCCGGCCCTCGCCAGGTCCGCGAGGTGTGCCTCGGTCTGAGCGCGCCCTCCGTAAGCTTCTTCCTGCCAGCACTCGAGGCGCGTGCTCGCCGTTGTTTCCACTTCATTCAAAAGGGGGCGAGAACTTGAGCAAGCCCCCCATTCGGGTCTTCCCCTTTTCCAGGTGCAGAGCGCGGGTTTTTTGGTTTGGGATTCCATTGGATCTGCTTTTGAGACGGCCCTTCTCGCTTGTGCGAGGGGTGGAGCTTGGGCGCTTTGGAGTCAAGCGACATGTGCAGGTCACAACCACTGAGCCTGCGGCGCTCTAAGCTGGGGATGTCTGAAAATTGAGGACCCGTTTTGGGTCAGAATCACGGTGTTTGAAGAGAGACAAAAAGGAAGGCAAGAATGTTGCACTGTCCCCCACCTTGAGCGAGTATGAGAATATCCATCGTCCTTTGGCCTGATGTGCAGATGAACGTTTTCTCGCTCCCTGCATTAGAGTTTGAGCTTGGAGCGGGAAGGCCGTGCTGGGTTACCAACATTTTGGCGAGAGGGGTCACCTTGCCCTCCATGTCAGATTTAGATCTTCGGCATGCAAGGTCGCCATGGACCTTGAATCTAACGTGTCCAACATGAGCAATGAGAGTGAGATGGAGGCAGGGTGGCTTTCGGGTTGCGGTGCTGTGACTTGGACTGCGTGAAAGCAAGCTCAGGGCCGTTTTTTAGGTTCCTTTGGCACAAGGCGATGCCTAAATCGACCGCGATTTCAAAAACCTTTCATGTACCACATATGCCGGGTCAAGACAGCTCTGTACGTGGGGTTGGTTGGAGATCAACGTCTTCCCCCACCCCGCCGGATGGTCATCAGCACCTTTTGCTAAGGATTTTGGTCAGTCATTGTAGGAGGAATCCATTGCCATGACCCAGACAAGAAGATTTGACCATGGCTCACCTGACAGTTGGGTTTGCCAGCGAGGACATGTGGGAGCTGGATGGAGAAGAGAACTACAGCAATGCCAGCGCCAATGCCAGCTTCAGCAGCTTCGCCAGCTACGCTAGCTACGCCGGCAATGCCAGCAACGCCGGCAACGCCGGCAACGCCAGCAACGCCAGCAACGCCAGCGCCGACAACGAGGACGATGAAGCTAATGAGTCCTTTGAGAACTGGTCCAATAGCAGCAACGCGAGCTCGGTCGTGCTGGCATGATTGGAGCTGGAATTGTGTTGTCAGTGTGTGGTCACACCTTGTGGCTGATCTTATGGGATTGGTACAGGTGTTGGTCATTTGGTGGCATGTTGCATGGAAGGAATCCGCTGGCTATTTGATGTGTTGGGTTGAACTGCTGCCAGGCACAGCCTGGATCGTTCCACTTTCAGGGAATCGGGTAACAAGGAGTTTCACAACTGCAAACCCAGCCGCAAAAGTCAAGTCCCCCACTGAGCATTCTTTGAGGTGATATATCGTTGTACCCTATCTTTGCGGAAGAGGCTTCAAAAAGACAGGGGGTTGACAACATGCCCCTGGCGATGGACATTGGTTGCCCTACTGACATGCACCCACCATAAGGTGCTTTTCAAAAGAACTTTTCGCGGACCTTCTTTCAGGTTCCATGTTGTTCGGTGGGAGGGTAGTTTTCAGGGTCATGCCAACAGACTTCTGGCATGCCAACGGACTTCTGGCAGGTGGTAGATGAGAATACGCAGGACACCGCTTCTGACTCGGGCATAGCTTGGCAAGAGCTTCTCATGTATCAAAGCGGGGCTACGACCCTTCCGCGAAAGGACAACATTTTAGATTTGAGACCCTGCCTGTTTGCCAAACTGGGCCCTCCACGTCTTGGTGGGCAATGTACGAGAGCTAGTCTAGCTGTCGTTCTGAATGCATCCGAAGAATGAATCTGGGGATGTGGGGGTGTGCAGGGCGTTGCAAATTCAACCACTTTTTGCACAATATCCAAAGGATTTGTGGGTGATAGGGTGATAGTGATGCCTGGTGACGCTGGGGGATGTTTATTTGTACGGGGGGCGGGGGGGGGGTGAAGATTCAATGGGTGTTTCCAAAAGTTGGCCATTGGGGTGGCTTGTAGCAGAAGCTGAAAGGACATCAGCCACAGACACACCCACACACAATTTTGGGTATTGACACGACGAGCTTGTCTCAGCATTGGGGGTCCCCCAACCTTGTTTAAGGCAAGACATTGTTTGTTGTGGGTTGGGGGTTCGCCTATTTTGGGACCCCACAGAATTATCGGGTCGTGGTGACCCACGCAATTGGGAGGTTGTTTGTTTGCTTCTTCCCCTGTGCCAACCGCCCCTCAAACCACTCAAGCCAACAATGTGTTCACGTAAGGGGTATTGTGCATATTACATGGGTTTATCTCAACAGCGACCACCAGACCTGCAGGAAACTAGGTGAACACACACACACACATCCTTGGGGATTTTGGATTACATGGATCACTTTGCGGGAAGAGACTTGCGCCACTTCTCAGCTGCATCTCAAGGAGATGCAGTCGATGGCGGAGACGCGCTCGCAGCCTCCCCAGGGATGGAGCCAGCACTCTCCTCTTTCCCTCCACACTCGAAGCTAGCCTTGCAAAGCCTTCTAAGGCCAGACAAGGCCAAATGAGGCCAAATGAGGCCAAAGTAAGACTCGCTTCAGCCAGTCAGCCATTTGGTGCACCACGCCTGGCTTGCGGCTGAGAGCGGAAGTTCCTTTATTTCGCCCGAAAACCCGACCAACAATCACCCCAAGCTCAACGAAGCTTTGCCCAGGGTGATGCCTCAGACATAAGAAGGGGAATGCTCCCAAGATCAGCAGTACACCTCAAAAAGGCGTCCAATCCCAACAAGCACGTTCCATGTGGGGTTGTCTACAACTGGGAAACTTAAGACATTGTGTGTATTTAAACATAAGTTTCCTATATTTAATTTCAATAGATTATTTTTGGCAATGCTATTGATAGGCAACTCATATCCGAGATAGTTGTGTTGCAAGTTTTTAGAATGTATATGGGATTATGTAGAGAGAACTGACTTACAATGTAAATGCAACTGTGCAAGGACATGACACACTTTTGCAACTCATTTGGTTTCGATTCCAAGTAGGAATGAGTTCCTTCCCCAAATTGAGGATTTGCTGACCTTTCCCTCCCAAACACAAACAAGTAAAACCAGATAGCTGTGGCACGTTGAGGCTGCCAAAGTGCACTTCAAATCTGCGTCTGAAGCACGTCTTTCGCATTTTGTCACGTTGTCTCAGAGTCTCAAGGCATGTCTCATCCCCAGTTTGGCCTTCATGTGTGTATATATATATATGGGGTAGCAAATATATATATATATATATATATACATATATATATATATTATATATATATATATATATATATCTTATATTTTATATGGGGTAGCAAACATGTATATATATATATATAATACGGCGCCGCCAAACATAGGTGTTTAGCCGAAAAGGGAGTGTGGTTGATAGGGGAACGGGTTTCACCAGCGGTCCTCGCGAGCCCGTAAAGGCCCAAGACTAAGCCTGCTCAGGTCATGTTCAGGTACCTGCGTCTGGACGCTGGGTCCTTGGCGCGGCGCCCAGGCAGCTTCCCTTCGAGGTTGGCAGCATGAAGCGAAGTTTGCGGACCCCTTTAAACCTACTCGGCAGTCAGACCATGTAGCGAGTTCGGCCCTCTTTAAACCTGGTTTCGGCGGGTCATCTTGTGGCTTAGCTATCTAAGTGTCCAAGTGCTAGCGGTAATTACTCCTTGAGGAAGAGCATTTTGGCAGTGGATTGTGTTGCATCCACCATCCTCGCTTGGCCGGGAAAAACCAAGCATAGTTGTAAAAGGAAGCCAAGGGAGCAAGATGGCGCGTTTGCTTTGTGGTGAAAGGTTTTTGCAGGGTACCCAAGCTCTAATGTGGGCTCGTGTGCACCATGTCTAGCTTGCACTAGCTTCCCACAAAGGGGAAGCACGAGAAGGACCCAACTGCAGCCTTTGTTCCAATTCCGTCATTCCTGTCAATCAGTGATATCATGCCACCCATGTTTCTGCCATACTGGGATATCCAATTGTGTTTTGGCAAGAGTTCTCACACAGCGTGTTGGTGCAGGGATTAAGATTGAACATGAGTTCGTCCTGGTTGCTTTTCAAAATGAAGAGTACTGTTGGCACTGAACCAACCTTTTGCGCATGGAAACGGAGGGGAATAAACATAAAGGGACGGTTCCTTCCCCATTCACTTCCCTTTCTGGCACAAGGAAGTGCTGTGTGTGGGGGAAGGGGTCTTATCCCCACGTTGTTCTATCAATCCAAAAAAAACACTACAGCAACCAAAAACGCAACAATTGAAGCAGCAGCAGCAGCAGCACAAAGACATGGTCATGACCCCTTCAAAAGGTGATCACCTCGTATTTCCCAGAACACCACGTTTGCTTTTCCTTCTTCTGTTACAAGCCACACCTTCTCGGCGGATGACCCGTCGATCCGTGATCGAGGAGCGCCTGCTCCAGCGGGTGCGGGGAGGGCCTGCAGAGCCGAGAGGTCCACTGCCCCAGCAGCTCCCTGGAGGTCGGTTGACCCGGAAAAGCGGGCGGAGGTGGGGGAGGGGGCGGGTCCCTTGATTTTTTGTGCCTCAACGTGGTGAAGGCAGCTTGGGGGATGTTCGAACTTACTTTTGGGACGTGGTTTTCCTTCAAGCCGCCATTAGGACAGTCCTTCGAGGACCCAGAAACAGGCCAACCTTTTGGGACCTGCTCAAACTGAAAATAGCGGCCTACTTGAGGTAGACCGGCCTTTGCCCATCCAAGTGGCAACAGTTCCATATTGGTATCATAGTAGTGTCTTTAAACGGTTCCAAAACAGTCCCTTGATCACTTGCCCCAAAGGACAATCAGGCGTGGCATCCTAGAACCTGTTTGTACATGGCCATTTGCTTGGAAGGGGCGAACAGAAAGCAACAGGAATCTCGTTTCGGAGTTTCAGCTAAATGGCTTGGAGCGCTTCGTTTTTTCATCGTCTCCGTGCCACCCAGCTCAGAATGGGTATATACATGCTCCTTTTGAGGATAGGGTGCTAACAACGTCAAGCCGTTCCTGATCTTTGTCACCGCAAAACCAGACAACCTCCCGCGAAAAGCGCCCCCCCAAATCCAAGCGCAAAGCCCGACGTCCCCCCCCCGTCACTTGCCAGGACTGCCCCAAGCCAGTGCCGGAGAGCACCGTGGCCTGCACGTCGACCGCCGAGTGCAGCTGGGCGCGGGAGCTCGGGCAATCCAACGGTGAAGCTGATTTGGTGTCGTCCAAATCTGGTCGCATGCTTTCCGTCCTCTTTTCGCGCATGTGTTTGTGTGTGTGCGTGTGCGTGTGTGTGTGTGTGTGTGTGTGTGTGTGTGTGTGTGTGTTGTGTTTGTATAGGCCTCCCGAATACTACTTTAGGCTTCACACCCAAAGCCTTCAAACATCGGCTGGATGTGCCATCTTATCCACTAGAAACTCAGATGCCATCAATACGAACCCCCTATAATTCTTTGTTTTGTGGCCATTGTTTCCGGCACCACGGATTTGGGCTTGCGATCGGGGAATCAACTACATTGCACGCTTTGTATCGGTTTGCAATTATCAACGTCCTTTTTGCACGCTGCAATGGCTTTTAAATATTTTGGAATCGCAGTATTTAGAGGCTGGCTTGACAGCAGTTTGTAAGAGCACTTTGTTTCCCGGTCACACAACAGCTTGAATACCAAGATCACATTGTGAAGGCTCCAACCGACGAAAGTCAAACTTTTGCAAGCGGCCTGGGACCTTCATACGAAGTGTTGTCATTTTCCATCCGCAAGCCTACCCAGTAGGTCGACTCTGTGGCACGTTCTTTCCACCCGAGGTGTCGTCTTGGGGTGAATGCAGCGCCACGCCTGCGGCTCAGGGCAGTTTGATGTGGTCTAGGACCAGGACAAGCGTCAAAAGTTCCCATGGGCAAGATGCCTCATGATTTGGAGAGGCTCTATATCGGTTCTAAGTTCCGTTTCCAACCTTTGGACACTTGCAGGAGGGATATCCACTAAATATATTCTTGACAGATCAAGATAAATTGGTCCTCACTGTCAATTGGTGCAGGCAGAACGCTTGCAACGAAATTGTCGCACCATATCTCCCCCAAGCAAGTTTTGCTTTCCGGTACGCATGTTTGGACAGAAGCGAACTGTTGACTTGATGCCTCAAGCAACAATTCCAAGAAGCTGCCTGCAGTCCTTTGGGGGCCGAAAAGGGACTCAAGGGACCCATTCTGATCTTTGGGTGGATGATGTTGAGTGTATTAGTCGATTGCTTTACCGTCGCCGCTGTGAGGTGGAAGCAAAGGGACATGATCCTTTCGCTTGCCATTGCAAAAACGGTGTAACTAAAGGTGCATCAGGCTCGGGAGCTCAGCGACAGCCCTTTGGTTTGGTTGGCGTGGGCAGTTCCTTAGATGGACCCGCTGTCCGTAGCAACTCTTGTCGTTGGAGCATTGGACTCTACTGCTTCAGATCGTTCTCGACACCTCTTTAAAAACCCAATGCGACAGAGCGTGCGGTGCGAGTTTTTCAGGTCCATCAAAGTGTCTGACGCCAACCGGTTCCAACGAACCCAACGTGTGCCATCCAAACCAGACTGGGCCGCTCGGCTTTGCGCTGGCAAGCGGGGGCTGCTTGGTCCTGTACCTGGCAGATGAGAGCCTGTTCATGTCTCTGCTTCGCACCGTGTAGCTGCCCTCCGGGATGTCGCGGATGGATCTTCTTGTGCGCGCAGCGCCCGAAGGTTTTCAATTGCGAACTCAAAAGCGCAATCGTGCTCGTGCTAGTGTTCGGAACTGAAGCAAGTTTGTCGGACTTCTGTGAACTGCAAAGAGCGGTGTGTTGTGGTGGCGCGTATGCCCTGCGGTGTTGGCGAGCAGTCAGTGCCGATCCGGGCGTGAGATCCACTCGCTCGGCATGCTTGTGATGGAAGTGCTCAGAAGGAAAGGAGGAGGGTTGCAGCTCAATTTCCTTTTCAGTGGCGACATTGATAAGCCGATGCCCATGGCCAGTTTGAGCGTTTGGAACACATCAAGCGCAGAGCACCTCAGCACGCTTGCGTTCTTGGTGACGGATGATCTGGCTGAAAGGCCGGCTGGTGCTTGGGAGTTTCTGGAGGCGCAGAGTCAGTGCGTGGAGGGTGTTTAATTGAGGGGTTTGGCTCGCAAGGAAAAGCCCCCAGCAGCTCTTGACAAAGCTAGCTGAGGTGTGGCGCCGGTGTGCAAGTCCAGCAATGGAGCTGCCCCAGCGGCAGCGCTGGGCGCTCAGAGGGATGGGCTGCGACTGCCCATGCTGGGCTTAAACAACATGGCCACTTTCGAATGCCCCAATGCCAAACAAGCCTGACATGAGAATGTCGCGTCCTGAAGTCGGGTGGTTTTGTTGGAATGGGTCTGCGTGTGGCTAGTTTTTTTTGAAGAGTTGGGGCTGAGAGGGAAGATCATGACGTGTTTTTGCGTCAATCTGTTTGGGAGCAAGTGAGGCAAACCGGATGGCACGATTTTTGGGCCTCCACTTCTGCCAACGGTGTCATTGTCCGCCTGTCGAGCCGCGGCAAACCGCGGTTTCTTTGGATCCGGTAAGGCAGTGGCCTGCGGTGATTTGTTACTCCCAGCCAGTAAAGACGACCAGGAGCCAAGGGCCTTTTTTTAGAAGGTCTGGCTGTTAATGGCAGGGTCTTTGGAGGAATCTTGAAATGTCATCCCTATTGTTTCCAGTTCTCACTTTCTGTTTCTCTAGGCTACTGACAAAAAAGCAAGAAATCAGGGACATCATTATGTAAACATCATGTCAACCCTGGGGGCCATGTAAACCTGCTGCAATTGGTTTGGCAACTGGCACCGAGCTTACCCATGGATGGCGCTGGCCTGAGCCTGCCACGAGCCTATGTGCTCAGCACAAGCTGGGCCCAGCCTTTGAAAGCTGTCTGGCAAGCTCAAGCCATGTTTTGTTGGCAAGCTTCATGCTTTGCACTTTGCACATTTGCAAACCAACGTGGCGCAAGCCAAAGGTGTTCGACCCTTTCACTGTCTAGTCCTGTCAGACCACAGCCTTCCCGACTCCCCCTCCGCTTAGGCCTCGGACTGCGGCACTGCGCCGGCTTCTTCGGAGCAGAGCTGCTACGCCGCGGCCCCAAAGCGGCCAACGTCCGTCTAGAGCGCTGGCCGGCGTTCGAGGAGCAGGTGAGCGGGAACTCCGCGGACCAATCAAGGAGTAAATGGGAGAGAATCCAAGTGCCAGCCAGCAGGTGGCGCGTCCTGTTTAGAACTTGTTGGGCGAGCTTGTGAAAATCGGCCACGAAACGTGATTGCGGATTGCGGATTCATGCCGAACTTGTAAGCAAAGCGGGACCCATCTGCAGTTGGAAACAGAAATCAGCATGAAACCATCACCATTTCGAGGGATCCTACGTTTTGTCAGCTGCATGTGTGTTTTAGAGGATGCGGTTTGAGGTCTGATGCCAACTTCTGCTTGCTGTTGTGATCTTTCGGACCCACTCTTCTCTTCGGGTCTCCAAGGCATGCCATTTGGCAAGAACGCTTTGACGGAGTGTCTGGGATTGATGGGAAGCTGCCTCAGGCGACTATAGGCTGCGAGTGGCTCGCATCTGACTGGACAGCCTGCAGCGTGCAGCCGGATGCTCGGAGATCCATCGACAGGTCGACAGGTCGACAGTTCGGCGGTGCCCCAAAAGCCTTTTTTCCTTTTGGATGGGCCCAAGTGACTTGTCTCCTTTTCCTTGGTTTGAGGGATGGCCAGGTGAGATTGACTGTGGATCTTTCATTCTGCCATGCTCAGAACACACAGCTGCCATAACCTGCAACACTCTGACGAAACAGTCCATATCAGTCCACCAAAACATGAGATTACCTGTGGACGAATGATGTGGAGGGAATCTTGAACCCTGCCCCATTGAAGTGTGACACACAAAAGACTGAATATGCATCTAGCCCCACTCGCGCTCCTCAAGGACGGCAGGCGGTTTTGCAACCGCCCATTATGAACCTCGACCACAAGAACAACCGGCGCTTCAAAGCAGAACCAAGGATAGCCCGCACCAAACCCATGGCGAGAAGACTAGGCACAGCGGGCGTGAGATGAACAGGTGAACGCTATAGTTGTTCTGTATCTGATTCAGGCAAATGTGTGTGTGTGTGTGGGCGGGCGTGTGTATGCCATGTTCTTGAACTAATACATTATATATACATATATATATATATACACATAGATAATGCTAAGTGTGCATCGCATGCATATGACACACCATTTTGGCCAGGGGGCTCTGCTCTGCGTGTGAGTGAGGGAGATGAGTGTGAGTGGGTTTGTGTGTGTGGCGCGTAGAGTGGTCGGAGTGAATTCAACAAACACAATCCAAGAGAAGGGTTTTTGGTGAAAGGTTTGTGAGGTTGCCATACTTTGCCCAGTTTTTGTGTGTCGCTGCCCAACCCGTTGGTCTCACAATTGTCGGTCACTTGCGTTTCCCTTAAAGAACCAACATGAGGAAGGACGATCCCATTTAGGTTTAGGGTGATATATGGGAGCCATGCACTGCCTTGATGTGCCACCCTGGTCGCATTTCGCTCCTCCAAGGTGTGGCTTTGGAACAAGGGAGCGCACTGTGCAGTGGGCTCAGCGCGCATGTTTTGGCGTTGCGTGGGGTATTACCAGGGAGGACAACGGATAGGCATCAACAACGCTGGAGCCAGGACAAGCACAGTTGACTGCTGATTGTGGGCACTGCATAGGACCAAGAAAACGCCACAGGTTGTTTCTTTTTCGCTGGTGCTCGCTTCCGTTTTGCTAGGCAATGGAGAACGGAAACCGACCCTTAGGTCTCCAATGCTTCTCATGGCTTTCATGGTTATGGTTCAGCTTTCTCACGGGTGGACCAAAGGCTGCTTCTTGTAGTGTCAAAAGGGGGTCGCAACAGGGGCCTTTGCTTGTGCCAAATCTCCCACCCACTGATAAGATTAGAAGCAGCCTTGGCCAATTGGATTTCTGATTGGATCCAAGTACAGCAAATTCCTTCCATGAATTCCCTCGAGTCGTTGGCTCAATTTGATGACTCGTAGGTTGCTCAGTTCAACTGAATGCTGGGGGTTCATGTACGTACAAACGCACTTCTACATGGGTCCACACATTCAGGGCGTTGGTTTAAGGGCGCTCGATGGGACGGTCCGTACCAGGCGGGTTGCGTCCCTTGGCCTGCTCTGGGTCGCTTCCGTGATCCGCAAACTGAGGACCTGCTCTTCTGGTGTGGAGGCGATCGTTGGAGCCAAGCGGCTTTTGGTGTTAAAACATACGGTGAGGGACCTCCCGGTGCTGATTGGCCCTTCAAGGGAAGTCCACAGGGAACCTGCCCTCTTTCGCCATGGGCAGTTGTCAAAACTTTCAGACTGTTTTTTGGACGGCATGTTCTTTCCATTTGCCCTTGTGGGCACAGGATCAACTCCCCATGGTTCAATGGCAAGGCCACGAACAGCAGTGAATATGACCGTTGCTGTCCCGGATTAAATCTCTGCACAACTTTTGTGCAGATTTATGTTCAACAGGCCCATCCTCCCTACAGGAAGAAGGCGGTACGAATGGCCTATGATGCTTGCGGCAGCACAATCTCAGACGGGGAGTAGGTTGGCATTTTGCCCGTTCTTTTGCTGCCTGTCCATTGCCTTATCCACCAAGTGGCCTCCGGCTTTGGTACAGTTTTTTGCTCCTTTGTCTGAGTTTCCCAGTCATCGCTCCTTCTCTTGCCGATCTTGAGCTCATGTTGAGCTCATTTCGAGGCCCATGTTTTCCAGCACTGTGGAGGTTTCTCCGTACCTCCGTTCCTCCAGCTTTCAGCTCGCCTCTGCCCCAACTCAGTGGCCGCTTGGGAGGCGGACTGCGCCGGGGCGCGCCCGGATTCCACGGAGGTGTGCCACGAGGTGTCGGAGTGCAACTGGGCGGCGGGCGCGCGCGGGGCTGAGGAACAACAGAGAGGGCTGAGGTGCTGACACATGTGAAAGCCAGGTGCACGAGCTCCAGGTTCTACCTTCTTGCTTTTTGTTTTTTGTTTGGGGGGGGGGTGGGGTTCTGTGCTCACTGCGCTCCTCCCAAAGCATCTTTTCATGTTCAGACCTGAAGGAAGGTACTCTTTCGCAGCCCCAGTCAGCCCCGCACGTTTGAGGGGGAGGGTCTAAAAGACCTCATGCGAGGTCAATTGGAAATCCATCCCAGCATTTTCCTGTTTGTTTGGGGCTTGTCAAATCCGAAACCTCATGAAGCGCGGCCATTTTTCTCCCTTGTGGTTCCGGGCTTATTGCCGACGTCATGTTCGCTTTCTGGCCGCGGCTTCCTTCTCTCCAAGGGTTTTTGTATTGCGTTCTGGGATTACGCCCACTAGGAAATGACCCCGTCTAGGCATATTTTCCCGGGATAAAATCATGTTAGTTCGGACCATTGTGGGCCATTTCCCAAGCGTGTAATCCCAGGGTGTAATACAAGAACCCTGAGACATGAGCGTTCATCCGTAGTTTAGACACATTCCTGTCTCATGGTTAATCTTTTGGCTGAGATGGCACATCTTCTGTCAGTTGGATGTGCCTCGAACAACTGAGACCTCGGCCGGCCCTTTCAGCGAGTGCTGAGGTGGGGCGCCTGCAGCAGCTCCTGCGGCGACGGCTTCCGCGCGCGGGAGGTGAGCTGCTCCTCAGGCGGGGGCCCGGGCAGGGCTTGCGAGGGGTGGTTTTGACGGCCCGTTTTTTGGGTTTTGAAGACATTGTTTTGTTCTTCAGGGTTGTTTGAACCAAGGTGTTTGTTTTTCAGTATCATTTTGAACATGTTGAAGAGGGTTGGGAGGATGCATGGGGAAGCATAGAGGCAGATGAGGCAGTGGAGGCGAAGTTTCGTTTGGAGGGCTCAACAAGCACCTGATTGCTTGCTCTTGTGGTGTATGGCCATTGCCAAGCAGTAGAAAGCTGAAGTCCAAGCCCTTCCCGGTTCAACCCTGGAGTCACAAATGAAACCTAAACGCACGCTGTGTCAAGTCTTGAGGCTGTATTTACAGTAATGAAGGCCGTAAACGCCTAAACGAAGGGTTTGTAGCCCCCCCCCCCCCTGCACCCGCCCTTGATTTGCGCAGGCGCCGCCAGCGACTGTGCGGCGCTGGAAGTGCCTGCGTCCGCCGAGCCCTGCCGAGAGGTGCGCGGACAGGGTGACAGGAGCTGAAGGTGGGGTGCAGGAGGTTGATCTTTACTGGGCTCTAGGAACCCTTTACCAGCAGGGCTCCAGAAGAAAGGTTCCTAGATTTTATGCTGGTGAAGTGCCATAAATGAAGTACAAAATTAGTGCAATGTTCAGGGTTGCTCTCAGCCGCCAAATGGGGCTTTTCCCCCTTTTCTGGGCTGTTGAAGGGATTTGCTTGGGCAGTCTTGACGACCTGGCACATGGGCGGTTCATTGTTTGATTTCGCCCATAGGAACCGCAAGCGGATGGAGCATTTGTTTGTTTGTTTGTTTGTTTGTTTGTTTGTTTGTTTGTTTGTTTGTTTGTGTTTCCGTTTTCAATTGCCCGCATTTTTTTTAATTTTTTTTTTTACATCACCCAGCTGTTTGTGGGCATCAAAAAGGACAATTCAAGATAAGCCAGCCACTTGAGCACACCCTCAAATCAAAAGACCCTGCTTGCAAAGTGGGGCTGGGGGCCTCCACAACATTCGGCCCACCCCCAACCCCGTCGGACAAATCGAGCCCAGAAGGCAGCGGCCCAAAGTGCCATGCCTCGAGAATTGAGCAAGCGGATATGTCTCCGCGCCGCGCACTTCGAGCCGGCCAGCAACTGAAACGCAGCGCGGATGTTCGAATCACGCCGGGCGATTCCAGATGTTTCAGCACACGCTCGTCAGCATGCAAGGGAGCAAAGGTTGCACGAAATGCTCCTGGAGCAGGCGGATGCAAGCAAGCTCAAACTTTGGATGTGAATCGTCTTGCCAAGGACTACACCGTCAAGATTAACAGCTACGCAAAGCAGGCATCATGGCAAGACGCATGCTGGGTGCTGTCAGACATGCCTCATGCAGAGGTTTTGCCGAATGTGTACAGCTACAGTGCAGCCATCAGTGCTTGCGAGAAGGGCGGGCAGTGGCAACAAGCTTTGGGCTTGTTTGGGGCCATGCCTCAGGCAGAGGTTCAGCCGAATGTGTACAGCTACAGTGCAGGCATCAGTGCTTGCGAAAAGGGCGGGCAGTGGCAGCGAGCTTTGGGCTTGTTTGGGGCCATGCCTCAGGCAAAGGTTAAGCCGGACATGATCAGCTACAGTGCAGCCATCAGTGCTTGCGAAAAGGGCGGGCAGTGGCAGCTAGCTTTGGGCTTGTTTGGTGCCATGCCTCAGGCAAAGGTTAAGCCGGACATGATCAGCTACAGTGCAGCCATCAGTGCTTGCGAAAAGGGCGGGCAGTGGCAGCAAGCTTTGGGCTTGTTTGGTGCCATGCCTCAGGCAAAGGTTAAGCCAGGTGTAATCAGCTACAATGCAGCCATCAGTGCTTGTGAGAAGGGCGGGCAGTGGCAGCAAGCTTTGGGCTTGTTTGGTGCCATGCCTCAGGCAAAGGTTAAGCCGGACATGATCAGCTACAGTGCAGCCATCAGTGCTTGCGAAAAGGGCGGGCAGTGGCAGCGAGCTTTGGGCTTGTTTGGTGCCATGCCTCAGGCAAAGGTACAGCCGAACCTGATCAGCTACAATGCGGTGCTGGATGCTACTTTTGAAAAGTCGCACGGGCCTCAATGCTTTGATCGTGGGTTGTCAGAAAATGTATTCTGCAAACTAATGAATGCGACTCCACATATTGTCGACCTACATGACCTGTCAGAGGGAGCGGCTCAGCTTGCAGTACGTTGGTGGCTGGCAACTTTGGTGGTGCCGAGTATTGGCAAAGGGTTGTGTGCATCGGAACCGTTCAAGTGCATCATAATCACAGGATATGGCAGGTCACGGAAGGGGTGGGACACAACAGATGTCCAGACGGCTGTTTTGAACATGCTGCGTACCATGAAGCTGAGCGCAGGAGTCCTTGAGACCAATGCTGGCCGTTTGCAGCTGGTGCTTCGCAAGCGTGACATGCGGATGCTGCAGCAGTGTTTCAAACAGCGCAAGCCGCGGCTGAGGGGAAGGGGGGGTCCACTTTTGGCCTTTCCCTCAAACTTGAAGAGTTCAGGTACTACCCCTTTTACCCCTCAGGCACCATTCTCCTATCAATATCATCATATCCCACTTCCACATGTTCAATCGAATCTCTTGTTTGGGGGGTGGGGGGGGCGGGTGAGTCCCAAACCTGGGGCACCTGATCTGTAAGGAGGAAGTGTGCACTATGGTAACGGTGCTTTGTATGCCCTGGATCTATTTCAGTAGGATCCTGTTGATGTACACCGAATGGATGTATTGACCAAGGGATGTCCCTGGTAAATAGTCCTGTAAATAGTGCGAGGGTGTTCACGAGCGCATGGAATGCTGCTCTCAGTGAAAAGAGATTGTGAAAGAAGGGCCCTTGAGCCAAAATCGTTTCACGATTATGTGGGGTTCAAATGTAAGCAAGCATGAAACCGGAACAAAATTCTTTCGAACACCCACATCGAGTTCCGGTATATTCAGGGTGAAATTGGCTTAGTCCTATATGCCGTAGCCTTTCAAAGCTGTATTCCATTTATCAAAGTCACTGTTGTGATGCGATTGGATTTGTTCGTCTGGCAACTGGAAAAGTATATACAAAGTGCAATGCATGTTGAAATCGAATTCGCACACGTGGTCGGGAAGCATAAGAGGTACCAGGTCGTACCTAAAATGTCGCATCTTGTTTGATTGATGCGCGTCGAAAGTCAAGGACAGGATTGTCCTATGTGAAACTATCGATTCTCTCACTGCATGAAGTAGTCTTATAGACCAAAAGGTCGATGTCGCAACAAGAGTAGTCTTGTTGTCGATGAGGTCAATGGAAAAGGCTTAAGACAAATCCAAGATTCGTTCCGATAAAAAGCAAAGGAGGCATATGGTTAAAAGGCAATCCTGGGTAGACTATTCTGGAACAGCATCAGATAGCGGCTGCCAAGAGCCCAAGCACAAGTGGCGATACTGAAAGCGCAGCTCCTCAGGCCAGCACGGAATCCAAATTCGACACACCCGAAAACGGCACCACGATATGGCCGATCAATCGATATCCGCTAACTCCTGCCTGTAGAACACCTTGTGTCTCTCACCTGAAGAGGTTGGAGCTTATTTGGAGATTCTGAGCAAGGTCTCTTCGGATGTCTGCGGATTGACGAGCTTCTTGGAATGCTCGCTTGGACAGCTGCTTGATCTGGATTGCTGTTGGCTCTTCCTCGTTCTTGTCGATCGTCAATTGGACAGGTGTTGCGACATTGACCTGGACGAGGTCTGCTGGTCGCCTTCCGAATGCGAGTTCCAATGGTGTTGCACCACAGTTTGGTTTCTGCTAGTTGCATCGGTCTTGACAAGTTGTCTGTGTGTGACTTCTTCAGAGAGGCAGGTGCTTTTCCTGCCTTGATGGAGCTGAGCATGAGTCGAACTGCTGCTTCAGCGCGATTTTGGCCACGGTGTATTTGATTCCAGAAAGACTGGTTTGATGTCGAGGGACTGGTAGAAGTGTTCCCATGTTTCAGTCATGAAAGCTTGATGTGGGACAACTGATTTGGGCTGCAAGTGGTACTTGTCAAAGTAGTTCCTGAGGACGGTGGTGTTCTTAATGCGTGGCGTTCAATGAATGTCATGTCCTCGAAGTCCAGTCGTTTTGCTTCTGGATGGTTCGCGCTCACTTCGGACCTTGTCAAACAGATCAATGTCGATTTGGTAAGTGAAGCGCGCGAGTTCTATTTCGAAATTGGTCAGTACTCATTTGATGATGCTGGAGGTGGAGCTTCTTCAACTCCCCCAGCCTGGGCAATCGCTGATGGGTTCCGCCCAAGGCAAGTAGAAGCGGTGCTAGTTCATCTGTGGGTGGTGCAAAAGGATCTGGCTCTGGTCGACCTGCCCTTCCTGTTGATGATCCTGTCTGCAGCAGACCCTGAACCTGCTTCTTCGTCGATCATTGGATACTTGACAAGAAGAACAAGCAGCTCACTTGTTCACATCACGCCCCGAAAGGCATTGTTCACGCCATCAGATCAGTCAATAACGATCTTGCCGCATTGAGGTGTATGCTTGATGGTCAATGTCGAGGTTTCTCATCTGTGACAACCGAGGAGCATCTTGACAGGCGCTGTCAGCTTGTGACTGACAGGTTGTGTTGGAAAAAACAGCTGAAATGCTGCGTCGCATGTCCTGTGCCGGATACCTCATGGGGATGAATGCCAGCCTGAGTCACTCCAATTCCGTGATTGATCTGGGTTTGTTTCCATTGAAAGGATACTGGAATTTCGATTTCCCTTTCTTTCCTTTCTTGCCTTTGCCTTTTCCCCAGTGGCCTGGTCGTAGCGATCATAGTTTCCGTTGGCCATACTGGCCTTTCCCGCCGGATGCGCTTGCGAAAGGGTTTGAAGCCACCTTGTCGGTGACTGCCCTTTTTGTTTCTGGATTTTCCTTTGCCTTGACTTCTTCCGAATTACAAGTTCCGCCCAGGAACCTTTCTAGCAATGAACGTGTCATTCTCCTCGGGGACCCACTTCAAATCCTTCCTCATTCTCGGCCCAAATCCTTCGTATTCTCCTTCTTCCAGGATTCTCAAAAAGTTCGGGCAAAGGCTTTGTCAATGAGCGCAGAAGATGGCAACGACTTGCGCTACTAATTCCTCAATCTCTCACAGACAGCACAATTTCAGCCGGCCCCACGTATGCCCCTGGTAGCCCCGGCCTTGATGACTTCTTGCCGTCTTTTTCTGGCAGCGCGAGAGAGACGTGAGCAAAGGCTGGTGCACCCCTATGAGCTTGTGTGCATGCAAGGCATACCAGTTCTTGGTCCGGATGAGTACACTTCTCAATGCCATGCTGCGGCATCGTTGAAGTGCCGAGGCCCTGCGGAAGCTGGCAGGGAATGGAATGAATGTGTCTTTGGTTGGCAAAGTTTTCATGTGTGCTATGTTTGCCAACCAGTGGTTTGTGATTCCAAATGCTGCTGGAGTCAAGACAGCTCGGGAAGAAGACAATTCACTTTCTTAGCGATTAGGCTGTGTAGAGTCTCACAGACAGACACTAGGCAAGTTTTGATTCTCACGTGCCACAGCAATTTGCAAACAAAACTTGTTGCCATGGTCCATGCTTCCGTTCTGACGGTTTTGCAAGTCCATGTTTCTCTGCATGGTTGCGGTTGCAGGGTCTGAGAGCGCGTGTCCGGGTGAGAGGATGCCGAGTTTTTCAGGGAGCAATCGAAAAGTGTTTTTGCAGCCTTTTGGCACTGGCACTTGCAATTAGACATGGCTAGTCAGTGTCTTGCCGGTGATGAGGAGGAGGTGGAGGTGGAGGCAGAGGAGGATCAAGATGTGAAGACAGATGATGCGGTGTCTGGCAAAGATGCGGCTGCTGCCCCTACCATTGCGGTGGATGACTCGCAGGAGTCTCGCAAGCAGGGCGCTGCAAAGTCAGATCAGATCGCGGAGTTTGAGCTTGAGTGTTGGGGCGGTTGCCCCCGAAAGGACCTCGGATGGATGTTCTGGTCGTGACGAAAAGATCGTGATACTGTGTCTTCCGCATCTCGTGTAAGTAATTCTCGAGTGAGACGTTGCTGAAAGACATTGCACTTACAAGTAAGGTCCGGCAGAGCCGGGGGGCGGAAGTTTCAAAGCAGTGAACAACTATAGTTTGGAGAACTGTCCTTGGCCCCTTGCTTCTCTCTCTCTCTCTCTCTTTTTCTCTCTTTCTCTCTTTCTCTCTTTCTCTCTTTCTCTTTCTCTTTCTCTTTCTGTTTCTCTGTCTCTTTCTCTCTCTCTCTCTCTCTCTCTCTCTCTCTCTCTCTCTCTCTCTCTCTCTCTCTCTCTCTCTCTCTCTCTTTTCTTTCCTCTCTCTCTCTCCTCTCTCTCTCTCCTCTCTCTCTCTCTCTCTCCTCTCTCTCTCTCCTGGCACCTCTCTTCTTCCTCCACCTCCTCCTCGCATCTCTCTCCCTCTCTCTCTCTCTCTCTCTCTCTTTACTTCTCTTTCCCTTCCAAAGCTCCCAACAGCGCTTCTCTAAGTTCAACTCTCCTCCCTCCCCCGTACGAGAGCGCCCTTTTCTTTGCGTCTGTCAAACCAGCTGTAGTCTGGGCGCTGGAGCACGCCGACCCGAAACGGCACGCGTGTCCAGCGCAAAAAGTGCTAAGCTTTTCTCTTCGTTCTGCATCAAGCGGTGCAGCAGTCCGCGCGAGCGCGCGCCGACGCGGCACGCGCCGACACGAACGCGCGGCCCGAAACGGCACGCGCGTCATCAAGCACGAAAGCTGGGCGAGGTCAAAGCCTCTTTTACTCTGGCAGCCTTAGTCAACGGAGTCATTGCCATGGCGTCTTCCTGAAGACGCTTGATCTCAAGGCTGGGCTGGGAGTCCAAGGAAAGCTGCCACGCCCGACGGCGGGCAAACGGCTCGATATCTCCGTCCGCAGCCGGAAACTGGAAGATCACCTGCCAGTGACGCAAGGAAGGCTCGCCGTCCCGTGTCGAACAGAACATAGGCTTTGCAACCACCCGCAACAGCGTGTTACAGCCGCTGTTCGCGCGATGGCCAAGCTGTCTCAGACGCTGACCACCCACATTGAAGGTGCGCGCGGATATCTGCTGCGTGGCTCCCTGCGCACAATTTCGATGATGAATTCGCAACTCCGCGCGCATTCTTCGAGCTTCGTTTGCACTCCTGACCAGCAGTGAATCTTTTGGCCCGTCACACTCCGTCAGTAAACTCCGCGTACTGGACTGGCAGATCCTCACCTGCCGTAATTTGCCCCTGCGTCAACCAAGTATCGCGTCTGCACAAGTAATTGCCATGGTCAGCCCGGAGTGAGGGCGGCCCGCGCGCAAGCACAGGAGTGGCTTTGCTGAGCCCGAAGTAGGTTAAGCGGAGCCTCGCGACACAGCACCCCATTGCAAGGTGTTGCGCGCGGGATGCGAAGAGCCAGACGGTTCCAGATAACGCTTCGTCGTGCGCCACGACGAGCGCACAGCCCGCTTGCGGG